TCTGCCATAATGTGACTAATCTGTTTGAGGCAATTGGAATCGCCCGTAACTAGAATGAGTGGCGCCTCTTCATTTACAGCAGATCCAGGAGACTCAGAGCCGTTCTGCTCCATAATGGGAACAAGTATCCGTCTGTTCCCCTGGCTCACTCGGTACACTTCAAAGTGGATTACAACAGCATCAGGATCTTGCTGGACGCCTTGAAGTATGATCGGTACGGCTGGGATGCCATTTTAGACTTCAAAATGGTGGAATTCCTGTTGGGTCTCCAAGGCGGTTTTGCAAAGTGTCTCTGCTTTCTTTGCATATGGATGTCAGCATGAACACCATGGCGCACTGGTGGGACTGGCCACAGCAGACCGAATTCTCTGTGGGGAGAAACAACGTCAAGTTGGAACCACTGGTGGATCCCCAGACGTTGCTCATGCCACTAATGCACATCAAATTGGGCCTTATGAAACAATTTGTCAGACATTTAGATAAAAGAATCGGCAACCTTCAAGTACCTTCAAGACTTCTTTCCTAAGCTGTCTGAGGCAAAGGTCAAAGCCGGTGTCTTCGTCAGACCACAGATAAATATGATCCTGGAGTGCTATGAATTTCCCAAGAATCTCACTAGTATGGAGAATGCGGCTTGGAACAGTTTTGTCGCAGTCGTTCGGGTCTTCCGAGGTAATCGCAAGGTCGAAAGCTACGTGGAGCTAATTGAGACTGGTGAAAAACTTCGGTACAATGAGCTGAAGGAAGTCCATCAAAGTCCATATCCTTGATGCTCATCTTGATCAATTCAAGGAGAATATTGGAGCGTATTCGGATGAGCAAGGCGACCGCTTCCACCAGGATATTCTGGACTTTAAAGGCCGCTGCCAATGTCAGTATAACGAGAACATTATGGGAGACTACATTTGGGGGCTGATTCGTGAAACTGATTTACAGTATAATCGTAATTCTCGACAAACTACTCTACTAAATCTGTTTTGATCATTTTTGTATTACTTTAGTATAAATACATGTTAATTGTGATACATATGTTGTTGGTTTTTCACTTTATGTGAACGAAAAGACTCAAATTCGCCCGTTTTCGCACTGGAAATATGTAAATTTCAAAATATCACTGTCCTGGTCACAAATTAAAATTTTGTAGGGAATAATAGCTATTTCTATACTTTTTAGATATAAGCAATTACGAAAAAGCACTTACTTCCCAGGAACGAAAATTGTGTTATAAAGTGTATACAACTTTAGTCATACAAGATTTATTACAGCAGACCTATTTGCTATTGAACTTGTCTAACTCTTCATTCGAATGTAATCGTAAGCTTTCATTCCTGATTTATGAATACACCTCTGTAAAGTAGGCAAACAAAGGATGATAATGTGCCGGCTGGCAGGCACGTAGTCTGACATGTAGATAGTGATGGGTGGATAAAAATGTTCCTTTTCACCTCTGCCGTAAAAGTTGTACTCTAGAACCAGAGTTTATTCACCATCTCTAAAGAGCTCCAGCTTACCAGATTTAGTTTCAAATAAGAATTCTGAACATTAGCGTGAAAGGTCACCCAGATTCATTACCAAGTGTCCTCAGTTCGGATTACCCGAACTTGATCGGTGTTTCTTGCTTGAAACCAGCCATCATTGTCCATGTTTTAATTTCTAACTGGTTAGTGCTACCCTGGATAAGACGGGCTTTTGTTACCATTTTATTTGACATATAGGAGATGGGCTTTTGTTATTATTTAATTTAATGCTACTTTTTATACCTTGTCAGAATTTTATCATAATTTATGACATCATAATGCATGCTAATACGACAGATGCGGATTCCTGTACTAATAGGACAGATGCAGATCCTTACTCTAAACTCGTAAATGATATTTTGACAAATGTAATGCTTATCATCTACATTCCTACCGTTTGGTCCAAGATAGGTTTCCACATGATTTTTTTTCCAGGTATGGTTTACAATTTTTTGTATCATCACTTTACGTTTATTGTATTTGCTACAACAATTTTCTTAGACAACATCAGTTCAAAGGTTCACATTTCCGTCGATTATGCTGGTGTTTTTTTTTTGTTTGTCACACTAGACTATTGTTTGCAAACTTAATTTGATTTATATGTCATACGGTAAGACTTGCTGAGAATATAAGTAGAACTGGCCACCGATCATAGCTGATTGTGAACAATGATAAAGTGGTCCTAATTTCCTACAAAGAAGCCGATAGAAAGAGACGTACGACACCTACGATGCAGTGTAATGAACACCTTGGAGATTTGCGTAATACCAGGAATGCAGAGGACCGGTTGGGTGTTAAATAATGCGATGTGATGTGATTTTGATTTTTAACGTAGCTTTAAGAAAATGTTCAGTCTTATCGCTACGATGTCGGCAGTGTGGCACTCTATAGTGATGTCTAGCACTGGGGCATCATGCCGCAGACATGTAGCATGATGTCCCACCCAGTCACATTAACCTGACACCAGGCCGACCAGTCCTAACACTAACATCTTAAATATAATTATTTTGGTGCTTTACGGCACAGCAACAGTCTAAGCTTTTTAGTGCCCTGCACATTGAAGCAAAGTGTCTTTCCCTGGGACATAGAAAATACCATAATTGTATCGTCAGCCTTGTCTAACAATATATATATATATATATATATATATATATATATATATATATATATATATATATATATATATATATATATATATATATATATATATATATATATATATATTACAAAATGGGATAAACTGTGAAAGACATTATTATTTTGAATTTACAAGGGAACATGATGGTTTAAAAAGCAACTATATAAATTTACATAATCTAATTTGTAACTGAACACATTGAACTAAATCTTACCATTTGTCTTCTTTAGCTGTTCACTAAATTTGCATGAATTAACATTTTGTGCTTTTTTTTTATCTGATATTGCTATTTTATGTCAGCAAAATGTTACTACTGAAAGGGATCTCGAATTCATCACTTATATGACTTGAGGCAAATAATTAATATTTTCTTCCAAATTTTGCTACATTCCGATATTCTACAATATTGTAGCATATATGTTAAAAGGATGTCACAATGGAAAATATTTTTAACATATAATATCAAGTAAACTCCACCAAAAACACTCAAATGTTTCCTTTGTACATATTGTACATGTTCATCTTGCAGTTTGACTGTGACTTATCTTGTAGTTTGACTGTGACTGTTATCTTGCAGTTTGACTGTGACTGCTATCTTGTAGTTTGACTGCTACTGTTACCTGGTAGTTTGACTGTGACTGTTATCTTGCAGTTTGCAGTTTGACTGCTACTGTTATCTTTAGCCAATCCTCAGAGAATAAATGTATAAAACGATAAATTATAGATACCTAACTCACAAAAGTTGTTTCATCAAGGCAAGTCCGTAATAATTGCATATACCAAAAGTAACATCATATGACATAATGTTATATATATATATATATATATATATATATATATATATATATATATATATATATATATATATATATATATATATATATATATATATATATATATATATGTGTGTGTGTGTGTGTGTGTGTGTGTGTGTGTGTGTGTGTGTGTATGTGCTACAATTTCAATAAGCACTAAAATTAAGACACATGCGTACAATATACTAATGAGTACCATCGTTTCTAAGTAAGCGCCTTTGCTAAACACTATACAAGTTTGGATAGTATCCCTGCACCGACCATGCGCTGACCAATTATGTATGTTGGGAGTTGAACAAAATCGTTTAAAACGCTTGGCTTCTTTACGTTTTTTTTTATTGTAATGACTTGCTTAAATCGGTCTAATGTGTCTTGATTAAGAACTGTATAAGTCAAATGTGTGAGTATATGTTCCTTTGTCATATATATATATATATATATATATATATATATATATATATATATATATATTACATAGTATATACTTGTTGTTTGATGAAAAGAATTTGTTAAAACTATTGGTAAATTGAGCCACATTGACTTGTCTTATGGCGGAATTGACTATAACCTGGCATAAATGGTTCAACTTACCCATCCCTCAACCTATTCGATTCCACAGGTTCAATTCACTTTTATCTGGTAAGCTGGATCTTTCGGAAAAAAGAAACATTTTGTCCCATTATCACTCTTTTGGTTACATTCGTATGCAACAGTGTACCATATTTGCTGTATAAAATCACGATCGTAAGATAAATCACAAAGACACTTGTGTGGAATAAATTAAATTCTTGAATGGCTAGATTGAATAGAAGAGATAAATATACGTCATATCCGTTTTTGGCACGTGGAAACTACGGATAGTTGACGGCATTTGCCAAATAAATTGTAATGTAAAAAAGGGGATTTTAAGTCTAATTAAACATTTTTATGGTGTGCATGCATAGGCAACATAGTATACAGTCGGGTATTTTCAAATTTGTATAAGAAATTGTACTCATCTGGACATCTCAGTGAGCAGCTCTCGTCAATTGCCGTTTTTAATTTATTTCGCTACATGCAAATTTCTACTGATTATTTAGAAAATGCTAAAGCTTTGGAACGAAATTTAAAGAAAAACAACATATCTTCAGGAAGATTTGTTTTATTTTAAAAGTGCTCTCTGTCTTCAGTAAGCATCTCATTGGTATAAAACAATCTCTTGTATTAATTTTCTCTTAAAAAAATAAGTACCAGACGACAATAAAAATCAAAGTTAGCTGCGAATATTAGACGTGTCAATTCGTTTTAGATACGTAAAACTGTTCTCGCAGACAATGCTAACGTACATAATGTTTCCAGTAACTCGAGAGACAAACGTTAAGATCGCTATTTTTGCATTCAGAATATAAAATTTAAAAATAAATGAACGGAAAGACCATGTTGTCCAAAAGTGATGAAATTCGAGGAATTGTTTCGTAAGATAATGAACCTTATGGTTGCTTTTTTTTAGGTGTTTGAATTTTGTACAAAAAAAAAGCATTTTTAAAAACCGCCAGGGTGGCTTAATGGTTAGAGCATCCGCCTCGGATGCGGGAGATCGTGAGATTGTTACCCCAACCAAGTCATACAAAAGACTAAAAAATGGTAGTAACAGCTGCCTTCTTGGCGCTGAGCATCAAGAGGTTAATGTAAGGGCTGGTCATCCTGGTATCAGGATAATGTGTCTGGAAGGGACATTATGCTACATGTCTGCGGCATGATGCCCCAGTGCTAGACATACTAGAAACTGTCACACTGCAGACATCGTAGTGATATGACTGAAAAATTGTTAAAGCTACGTTAAAAAAAAATAAAATATCTAAATCACAAAATCTTGAAAAAAATAAATAAATATGCTTCTGTAAAAGCAGTACACGATAAAAAGAAAGTTCATGAAGAGCCCGGATAGAGAATCTTTATGTAAGTTAGTACAGTGATCCTACCGGTGAAATGCTTCCTACTACAATATATTCCCATAAACTTGAGTGGCTCGATCAGTTTTCTAACCGATGCTCTAAAATGTTATAAAGATATGACAGTTACATAGACGAATGGGTAGTAAAACTCGATTACACAGGAAAGGTAGTTATTTGCTACTAAAATTACATCTAATGTAGGTAAAGCGGTTAGAAATCGACAAATGCACACTTTGTGTAATATGAATCAAACAAACTTGCCAACATATCGGCACTTATGAACTATCATAGGAAGTCTTTTGACACGACTGGTACTGCTTCCTTTGTTTCTTCTTAAGATGTGTAAGTATTCATTTATATTTTCAGTTGGAAACTATTAATAATTCTTATAAGTCATTTCCATGAGTATACATCATAGTGCATATAAATCGACTAAGAACGAAGTTATGCCAATGATGGCGATACAAGCATTGAGTCCGATATGGGAAGAATAGTATGAGATAAAGATCGCGGGTGGGATGGGGTGGCGCATTTACCTGCTGTTTTCGGATGTGGCGGTGGCTCGGTGGTTAGAGTGCGGGACTGACGACTGAGTTTAGAATCCTAGCATCTATTGACCCTTAGTCGGCTGCCATGGTGTGTCATTGTGTAAGGCATTACCCCCAATTGCCGGTTGCCATGGTGTGTCATTGTGTAAGGCATTTCCCCCAATTGCCTAGGCACTGAATAACTTGCTCGTACTGCTTAATTCAAAGTACCTGTCTTGGTAATAATTAAGAGTTTAACGATGTTTTTTTTTTCTTCTGAGTTTATCTTGGTATAAACTGTCAGTTGCCGATTCACACAGAAAAAACGCCTACCAGTTATAAAGCCTGTTTGAGCGTATGAAATCTTTCTGGAGGCATATGCTACGTAGCAATATTATATATATATATATATATATATATATATATATATATATATATATATATATATATATATATATATATATATATATATATATATATATATATATATATATATATGACTAGCACCTATATTATATTATATTATATTATATTATATTATATTATATTATATTATATTATATTATATTATATTATATTATATTATGTTGTATAGATATATTTTACCACTGATTGTGTTTATTTGAAATATAGGGCACTGGACCAACCATGATACATATCCATACACCATGAGGTACAGAAATATGTAATGGCCACCACAGCAGTCATATCTAAAATATTGTTATCAGTAACTTCCCTGAATTGAGTATTGTATCAACATGGTGTTTTTATTATACTCAATAATTTCTTATGCTGTCTAGTTTGTCCTAATCGTGATATTAGGTCATTATATGTGATTTTCACAACGGCCATCTTGAAAATCTTGTTCACCTAGATGGCGTTTTATCACAACAATGTGTTTCACCATAAGACTTCTTATGATCTCTAGCTGATATTAAACAAAAATGGCGTCAGTCTGACATCGAATATGGCCCCAACAGCATCCATTCTATTCTGAGAATCGTGATATCATTTCTACTCCAAAATAAAAGTCATATCAATATGGGGTTTCCTCTAGAAGACTTCTGTCTCTTGTTCATCCTAATGAAAATGGCGTCAGTCTGAAATTTATGATGCCCAATACAGCAGCTTATTTGAAAATCTTGTTATCGCTGAAGAATGCCATGGATGATGTCAACATTTAGAAGTTGAAAGGAAGAAATGGTCTTATCTTGCATTCATTACATTTTTTCATCCAATAGAGCGTCAGTCCTTTCGAGACTCTTGTTTCCGTACTGAAAACATGCAACAAACTTTCGCAAAATTCTTAGGGCTGTATGTAACCTGCCGCAGTTTTACATGAATACATTTAAATCACAACAGTAACAACAACAACAACAATACTACTACTACTACTACTACTACTACTACTACTACTACTACTACTACTACTACTAATAATAATAATAATAATAATAATATAATAATAATAATAATTCGATTCAATGGCGACAAAAAAGAAGAAATTTATGGCAAGCTCCTATTTAGGAATATATCTAATTATGTGATTAAACAATTCCTGAACTTAATCATATTCTTTAACATTGTCCTTGTTTTCACATTTAAAAATCAATTGAATTAAATATTGGGATATGTTGGGTATATTGTTATCTTGCTTTGCTGGACTTTTCTTCTTGTCTTCTATAACAGTGGTTCATCATAACAGGCGCATGTTGTGCTTGATACGCATTAATGTAACTAGAAGAGTGTACCCGACAATACTAGACTGTTTTTGACACAACCAGCAAGGTAAACGAAAGCTTGTCTGTAATAGAATAATGTTGTATCCGGGACTCAGAATTGATGAAAGGGGGTGGAGGTGCTGAATTGTAAAATGCTGTAGTTTTAAAACAAAGTAAGTGATCTGAAAAGTAAATACCAGTAATTTCTTTTAAATTAATTTATCGAATCTGCGCTTTGGGTATCTTATGCTTAAGTACGTGATGGATTTAATAGTGTCTTTGCTAAACTTAATTGAAATCGTTTTTTTTAGGGGTGTGTGTGTGTGAACGACTCGAAGTAGATTTATGGAAATTTTCATTATTAATATTAGCAGCTAAAATGATAGACGACACATAAGCAAAACAGACATCTCCAACACATATCCAAAGATGATATTTGCTGGGACAGAGAATGCTAGTCATTATATATGGGAGAGTATAGTGTTATCGCATGTGCGAAATTCCCAATGACCGCTGATCTGCCCTTTCGTTTTGCGGCCAAAAAAGTGCGTTTACCATGGAGAGTGCATCTATCAGCAACGGTCACTGTGACCTACTTTTCAACTTATCGCAAGAAGAGACGCTTTGGTATATAGTCATTGCATCTTATTGGGTGTGTTCACCTTAAAAATCATCACTTCTCTCTAGCAAAGGACCCTCGATCCACGTCATTCCTTATCGACGTGGATTTGGAAAAAAGTTGATCGACGACCCTGACTAAGATGACGCAGAAGGTACATGCAGGTAGAATTGACATAATGTATTTTGAATGCTGCATCTTACATAATTTTTTGCATTTAGGTGTTGCTTAATTTCAAATATACTACATTATTTATGTGGTTTTTAAATATTTTTTAAAAATTTAGTTTTTAAATTTGATATCTGCATTCACGTTTAACACTTTTGCTAACATCCATAAAAAGTAAAGTGTGGCTGTAATGACCTATGTTGTTTACTAAACTGGCTATTCGAGTTTTTATATGGACTTGTGCTTGTCCGGCGCATGGAAGAAATGAAAGTAACTATATTATAAAATATCACTTACAGTGGAATAAAACGCTTTGGCAAAATCAACCAAAGCACGAAACGGGGTAGTTTTTTTTAAAAAATAAAATAACCCCTACAATTAATATATAGAAGATATCTACGTTTTCTGAGTAGATAAACTGAAATATTTCACAAGTGATGTGAAAACATTATATTGTCACGAGTGGCGAAATCACGGTTCACAATACAAAATGTTTCTACTTTGTGTTTTCGTATATGTACTCAACACCTAGATTTTCATTTATTATTTATTGTTAAGGTAAATGACGATTTACATGGGTTTTTGAAATTATCTAATTTAACATTAATTTTGGGACAGTAACGTTTTACCCATTTAGCTTATTTAACATGCTTCTGATTGTGTAAATATTGACTGTATTCGTACACAAATAAAGATATTTACTTTTGTTATCACATTTCATGCATTTATTGAGTTTTGAAGAACATACATAATAGCAGATAAATATTTCATGAATGTGAAAAAAAGTGTCGCAACTATGGCGATATCTTTTTTCAGCACTTATATATTTCGGTATCTTGAAATGAAATGTATAATAAAGCAACTTTTTAATCGACGTAAATAAGATAAGCTCTCTTTGCTGTCTGGCCATTTTTCTATCCAATTTTGGATATGATCCTTACGAGTCCTATTTGAGTGGCACGTGTGTTGTTCAAAGTAACAAAACAGTTCAAAACACTTGACAGATCCAAATACTGTAAGTCAAAACATGTAAACGCTTTCATCAACGATGTGTTATCACGTATTTATAAAATACGAAAAATAGTTATGGTTACTGGAGCAATATGTGTTGTACAATATTCTGTGTGAAGATTTGCAGTTTTCTGCGTTGTCAAACTCTTCGTTTAAGGAGTTAAGTAAATCATGCATGTAGTCTGCAATCCCAAAATGCCTAAAAAGAAGTGATCGGTTTTGAAGCACCGGAATTTGTGAAGTTTGGAGTAATACCTCAATAACTTTCTTTCTTTCTTTCTTTCTTTCTTTCTTTCTTTCTTTCTTTCTTTCTTTCTTTCTTTCTTTCTTTCTTTCTTTCTTTCTTTCTTTCTTTCTTTCTTTCTTTCTTTCTTTCTTTCTTTCTTTCTTTCTTTTACAGAGCCTTCCTTATGCACATGTTTAGAAATGTCCCCAGATCTAAATGCCTGGGAAGCAAAAAGTATTGACGATTGACGTTCAAAATATAAAGGATATAGAGCTTTAGGATATCGTAGCAGTACGCCAAAATCATTAAATATTTCATCATGGTGACTTCATTTACCATTCTTAAATTCTTTAATAACTCTTTTCAATTTAAGTAATTGAACAAAAATTTGTA